TATTTTTCCATGAAAAAATATCAATCAAATAGCATAAAAGTAGGAATTTCGGTGGAAAAAAAACACATTTTCCATGAAAAATATTTGCAATCAAACACGGCACAAAAGAATTATCTGTTCATTAATTACATTCTTCAATGCACCTATTTGACTAAAGTAGATTTATAACTTAACATAAACTAATACTATTTAATATTAGCTTCTAATATGTATAGAATAATTCGGTTGTCTACTATCAACTTTTCAGTTCTTAAACTTCCTTCTTAATTTGAGTATAATTGGACAATGGAGTTATTTTTCCTCAACAATTCTTAATTATCAAGTTCAAAGAGCATAGTGAAAATGCAAAGATTGACTAATGAATGATTTCATGCTTAGTAAATAGTCGAATTTTAGGGTGAGTTATTTCCGATTAACAAAAAGTTCGTGATGCTGAATTGGACGCTAGATAGATAAGAGAAATGAAAAATATCTTTTAATCCATTTTTAGTCATTCAAATCTTAGTCATCTGAAATTCCATTTTGAAAAGGCTATAGTTCGACCCAACCAACACCTAGAAGGGGGGGTGAATAGGTGTCCATGCGGAATTTAACAATTTAATTAAGTTATGCAACAAGTCACATAAATTAAACTTTGTCCAGATTCATTCACATGATTTAACTACCTATGTTGAATTGCCGGTTGAATTGAAATTGACAAAAAACAATAAATAACACAAAAATTGTTGACGGAAAAAACCCAACTGGGTAAAAACTCCGAGCAAAAGCCAGTAGGGATTCACTATAGAAAACTCCAACTTACAGTACGCCAGACATGACTGTATCTAACAACACTCTGACCTCCTTACTGTATCAACCAAAGCTCTCCTGGATTCTGCAGATCTGCGCCAAAATCCTAGCCTTGTATTTCTTCTATTTCCCGTAAATCAACAAGAACTCCAGTTTTTCAATCAACCTCCTTCCCCGATCTTCAATCAACTGATCTTCTGGAAGTAGTGAGGATTTTTGATAGGTGTTTTGTTTGAAAAGGTGTTTTATGTTTTTTTTTTTTCAATGAATCATATGGTGAAGAGTTTTGCAATTGATCCTTTGGTAGAGAGGAAAATATTGTGCTATGTGTTTTGCCAAAGGTTGTTAATAAAAAGCTGAATTTTTGTTTATATAGTAGGTCGTTTTTGGCAGTATGGAGCGTTTAAAATTTGCGAGAAAGGAAAATTACCAAACGTCGGATAACACTGTCGCTCGAGCGAAGTGCCGGCAAAACTCTAGCGACGCACTCTCGCTCGAGCGAAGTGGTGGCCAAACTCGAGCGACGCAGGTTGTGTTATTTAGGCTCGAGCGAGGTTAGGGCAAAACTCTAGCACCAATCTTGCGCCGTTTTCATCTTCAAAGCATCCAACTTTACCCTAGACCTATACATTAATTATTGCAAAATTGCAACACAAGTCCCTGAACTTTTAGACATTGACAAATTGGTCCTTGACTTTACAAACTCATCAAATTAGTCTTTTTGGTCACAGATTGCCAATTACAACATTTTCCTAACACATTTCAACATTGCTCTTACGACTGTCATTTTGCTCATAAAAGTAGCCTACAAATTCAATGTTAATCAATATCATTAATCGACAAAGAAGAATATATTGTCGTCTAGCATGAAGAACCCTGCCTAAAAATTTGCATTTTTCAAGATAAAATTCTCTTAAAACTACAAAAATTCGTTTTATTTTGTATTTTCGTGAATTTCATTTTGTCTAAGTTGATATTGTTGATGATGGTTGAAGATCACTATGTGATTTTGATTGATTAACTATTGCAAAATAATGTTTTGCTTCAAATTAATTAGTTAACATAGAATTATTTTGTTTGGTCAGTTGTAATTTTCTGAGGGCACAATTGTAATTCAATGTGAACAAGTTGACTTGACTCGGAGCAGAAAACTCTTTATTCAGCTTCTTCAGTCATGAATTGTAGTTATGTGGTTCAAACGATGAACTGAGATGGCCAATCGAGTGAAGACAACTACCCCTATGTCAGGTGACATTTGCTATGATAGGACAACTGCTGTTATACTAGCCTAACCATCGGCATGCTTGTTAGACTATCGCTATTATAGCTCAACTATCGCTATACTAGCCTAGCTACTGCTACACCAGCCCAACTACTGTTATGCTAGCTTGGCCGTCGTTATGCTTGTTGGACTACTGCTATGGTAGCTCGACTACCGCTATGCTAGTCTGACTACCATTACGTCGGCCCGACTACTGTTACACTAGACTGACAACTACTACCCAAACCTTCCAAACATCCTTAAAACTGATTGAAAACCATTTGACAGCTATCACTAAGTCCATCATCTAATTTGTAGATGGAGGTTAATCGCTTAGCAAATGGGTGAAAATTGTCTGGTGAATGGGCATGATGCATTGGACACGTGGATGATAACTGCCTAGCAATTACACGATGCCAGGATTGGACACTAGAGCATTACGAACAGTGTTTGGGCCTGGGTTGGAGATTTCATGTACCTTTCAACTTGTACTGTATTCTGGGGAACCAAGAGTATTGAGTGTATTTCTATCGCTGTTCCTTCTGTTTCACCGGAAATATTTGATGAGATTGCAGTATCTCGGTCTCCACGTGTCAATGTTATATTTGAAATAAAGATTTCTCTCTCTCTCTCTCTCTCTCTCTCTCTCTCTCTCTTTGTGAAAGTGGTGAATTAGAGGAGAAAAATTATGTTTTTCTTTGGATATTGCGGGCTCGACTGTGCTAGTCAAGTTTCTGATGTCTGCCCAATATCCCTACTGCATCATATGATTTAGACGAAAAATTACTTTCATTTCTGGTAGATTACTATATACTTGTTTCTTGCTTGGAAAGGCCTCGATTCTTGTTCCTCCCTGAAGGAATTGTACTTAGCTAGAAATAAGGTCAGCGAGGTCGAAGGTCTTCACTGCCTTCTGAAATTGAATGTATAGGACTAGCGTTACAACAAAATTTCTACAACCAAATGTCTTGGTCAACTTGTGGCAAATTACAACTCTTTAAAATCTATAAGCCCGGAAGGAAATCCAACCAAGAAGAAGATAGGTGATGAACAGTTAAAGAAATACTTACAAAGTCTTCTTCCACCTCTCACTTACTGCAACAGGCAATCTATGAAAGTTGGCACACTAAAAGACAAAGTCGATTGTTCTAATCGACTGGGAATCAGCGCACATCAAATTGACCCAAACTCCAAGCCGAAGTAAAGGCTACATGGAAGGGAACCCGTGGGATTGCTTCTCACAAGGCATCATCTTCATCAATTCATGGTCGTAAAAGTCAAGTAGTTGCTTTGCCAAAACAATCCAAAAGCAGGCATGGATGGCTTTCGCCAATTGGAACAAAGACAATGACTCAACGACGTGAATTGAATGATTTCAGCAAGCTTCTGAGCTCTAAACCTAGTTTCTCTATTGGCAGAAGCTGCAGTGACGGATCTCAGGGAGCTCTTTGAGAACACATTTGCTGATTTAATAAATCACTGTGCTTTTATGTTTCTGAGTGTGGAATATATGCTTTTAGTTATGACTTCTTTGTGATTTGGTTTCTTGACGTTTTTGTCCTTTTAATGCTGCAATTAGGATTCTGTATGAATCAAATTAGCAACATCCTATTTTGCTTTACCTTCAATTATCTATAGTTGATTGGAATAGAATACTTAGGACCTTCGTCTGGGTTTCGTATTGTAGCATCTATGACCGAATTGAGCAAAAGACAATCGGTTGCTCTTTGGACAATTTTTCCCTACTAAGAACTGTACATGAAATTACGCTGAATTTGATCCAAATTTTATGTGAAATGTTTATAAAGGTATATATGTAATCTTGTGCAAATAATTTTCTTTTTGGCAAAATGGTTCTAAATGGTTCAAACAAACTATTTGTTTTGGTAACTATCTCTTGTACACCTCTTTCCAACTACTGAACTCTAACTGTACATTTATCCACAATGGTTACATCAAATGTTGAATAGGATATTGAAAAATTGCCAGTTTGTCCACGCCACCTCGGTGAAAATCCTGTAGACATACGTAGTTCGTTACCTTGTTTCACCAACATTTGGTTGAAGGTTGGCCAAGTGAGACAAGATTGCATGCGGTTAGAATTTGACTCAAATTAAATTATTCTTATTTTGTTGTGAGAAAAAGAAGCGTAAAAAGGAAAACTTTCTGGTAACAAGTGTGAACTACTTGTATTCTCTTTTCGAATATGCCAACTCAAATTTTTATAAGTTTTTAGCAAATGCTATGAGCTATTCAAGAGAGAGATTTGTTAACATACCACTTTTACTAGAATTCGAGGCAAATAGAGGTAGCATTGTCTAGTCCAGCCATATCCATATCTCAATCTGTTGTCTTTTCCTCTTTGTTGTAATTTTATTTTTTCTTTCAATGTTATTTGTCTTTTTCAGTATTAAACTTAATGGTGACAAAAGAGCTCGTCGGTTTGGATGATCGTGGCTCAACTCTAGCATGCTTAAAGGACTAAGAACGTGGAGAATTGCGTGTTTTAGATCAAGTTAACAGTATAATAGTCTAAAAGTTGCAATATATACAAGCATAGGATCTTAATATTGTAAGTTTTAGTTTATTGATTTAATTTCATAATTTTTTACATTATTATTATTTTTTAATTGTACATGAAATATTTTATTTTTGTACAATTTTAACTTTACCTACGTTAAATGTAGTCGGTTCCAAGCTCGAAAAAATGAGAAGGGTTGTTACTTCCTTTGAACCACTTGCATAATTAATTTATTTATTTTTTTTTGGTTTGTAAATTAATTTGTAACGTTCAACAACTTTGGGGGCTAATTTATGAAATTCGCTCTAGGCCCTAAAAATCATATGACCAACAATGCTCACATTCTTGTGGTCCATTGAGTAATGGAATATATATTTGCTCAAAATGTATTGATTCACAGCCTAATTTGTCATTCTCAAAGCAAGTTGACTCAACAACCCCAATTCAATTTGGTCTACCAATATATCCCTAAGTCCAACTTGACATAACTCTCTCCACCCCACACCTTCATGGATTAAAAATCATTTGACTAGTAGAAGCTTTAAAGTATTAGTTAACTACTTTCCTTCTCGTAAATAGCATGCGCTTGAAAAAAAAAACACTTCTTGTTTCATACTCTCTTTCTCTCCTTGTCCAAACGCAGATCTTCTGCAGCTATGATCCCAAAGAACACTCGTTGTTTCATTTTCTCCATGTTGTTTTTCCTATGTTTCTATATTAACATCAATCTTTCCCTAGGGGGTGACAGCATCAGAGCAAACAAATCACTCTCTGGAGAACAAACAATCGTGTCTTCTGGTGGGACTTTTGAACTGGGATTCTTCAAACCAGGTACTTCTTCCAGTTATTATATAGGAATTTGGTACAAAAATATTAGTCCAATGACCATAGTTTGGGTAGCAAATAGGGAGACACCCATTTCAGACATGAACTCGGCAGAACTTAAGATTTTAGATGGGAATTTGGTGCTTATGGATAAGTCCCAGGTTTCAATTTGGTCTACAAATGTAAACATGACAACCTCAAATTCTGTAGTCGCAGCTCTAGGTGATAATGGAAATTTAGTATTGAGAGATGAGTCAGA